AATTTATTCAAAATTCAGTATATGCACCAAAATCGCTGAAGATTTGTTTCCAGGGTAGTGAACAGACAGCCATGATAGATTCATCATCAGCCCAAAACCTTGAATTGTTAATTAATAATCAAGACTGTAGGTAAGATCATCCATTTTTTTCTTATAAAATATATAGGTATATTTTATTTTTTTTCTATAAATAGTTAATTTAAAGTTCTTTTTTTTTTTTTTTTTTTAAATTTTGAGATGGAGTTTCACTCTTGTTGCCCAGGCTAGAGTGCAGTGGTGCGATGTTGGTTCACTGCAACCTCTGCCTCCCAGGTTCAAGAAATTCTTCTGTCTCAGCCTCCCAAGTTGCTGGGACTACAGGCATGTGCCACCACGCCTAGCTAATTTTTGTATTTTTAGTAGAGATAGGGTTTCACCATATTGGCCGGGCTGGTCTCGAATTCTGGATCTCAAATTATCCACCTGCCTCGGCCTCCCAAAGTGCTGGGATTACAGCCATGAGCTGCTGCTCTCAGCCTAAACTTCTTTAAATTATTTGATGGAGAATTGTATTTAAGAGGTAGGGTCTTGCTATTTTGTCCAGGCTGGTCTCAAACTCCTGGGCTCAAATGATTCTCCTGCCTCAGCCTCCCAAGTAGCTGAAATTATGGGCACAAACTGCCATGCCCAGCTAATGGTGGAGAAATATTGAATAAGCATATTTTAAATCATTGTACTGTTATTGCTGAACTGGTCAGGTGTTTCACCAAAATCAAGTTTTAAAAAGATATTTGTACTAAATAACAAAAAGCAACCCCATTCAGAACTGGGTAAAGGAACTTAATAGACACTTTTACAAAGAAGATAAATAAATGGCCAGTAAGTACTCAAATATTTGTTGAGTATTAAAATGAATCAGGTTTTTTATATGTATTATATGAAGTTGTTCCTTTATGAAAGGAACTTAATAGAGAATATGAAAATATGCTCAACTTTACTAGTCATTAAGGATCTACAAATCAAAACCACAGTTAGATACAACTTCACATCCATTAGTTTATAGGTTAAAATTACTCTGTCTTTGACTTTCTATGATATCCTATGTTATCATACCATAGAAAATCAATGACCAAGCCTGGTAGTTATTACAAAGTGTTTTATATTCAGTTTTACCTTGTCATGTTTCATACTTTATCATTATTTGTCATTATCATTGTCAAACATTGTTTGACTTCCTGCTA